GAAATTCTTGATCTTTAAACCAGCTGTCATCCAGGGAGCATCAGTAAAAGCACTTCAAGCAGTTCTGCCTCTTCCGTGTCTGCTGAAATTAATTTCTTTCCAATAACAGTTCATTGGTTTGTGTCTTTGGAGGCTAGTGTGCTAACCCAGGACATAGATCAGAGCTCTGAAGACCTGGTAACTGTTGAATAATTGTCTGTGTGTAACACACAGGAGTGCTGTCATGCTCATGTGTAATCCTGTACTTTCTTCCTGTCTTACTAAAACCATCCTTGTGACAACTAAAGTGCTTTCCAAAATGCAGATCCCTAGCCAATATTTGGCTTTTGCATTTTTCCCCTCTCTTCAGCTAGCAAGAAGAGACAAAGGCAGATTCCCTTCTGCTCTCTGCCTGGCTCCTTCGAGAATCCGTCACACCATAGCCCTTTATCCAGGCTCATGAGCCTTGTCTACGTCTTAGAGCTCATTATTAAACCTCAGCGTGAAGATATGGTTTGACACCACACCATATACTAGAGCATTCACCAGTGTGGAGAGTAGGAATTCCTCCCTGGTATAGTCACAAAGGTTTTGAACTGTGGGAGGTTGCTCATGCAGCCTGGGGCTATCTGCAGTTGGAAGAGGCAGCCTAAAACCAGGCAAGCCATCAGGTACTGACCTCCTGTTTCATGTTTCAAGGGATGAACTTTTGCAGAGAGTTTGCTTACAGCTGTTTCTGCAAAAGCTTCCACTCTGCAGAATTGGATGTCTGATCCTGTGTTAATCATGTCTTTTTTTTGTGCCCCTCCACTGAGAGGCCTTTTTCTTGCTGTATGGAGAGGAGCAGGATTGCACACTGAACTGGAGAAATCATGCTCAAATGTTCATTACCTGTGTCTTCCCTTTTTTGGTGCCCATCATGAAATGCATTGGATCACGCTTTCTGGGGTGCTCAGTCACTTCCACAACAGCCAGAACCATCAGCATGCTCAAAGCTAGTGCTTTCACAGAAAAGCTTTGCTGAATCTCATTGCAGCTGAGCCAGGAGCTCTCTGGGCCTGTTGGATGTCTCTCTTCTACCAACGTGATGCAGTAAGAAGGGACCTCTGCTATGGTGGGGTGCTCAGTTATTCAAGTCGAACCACTGCGTGCTGGGCTGGGCTGTGGTTGTGCTGGCTGAGCCCTGACTCACGTTCCCTTCTGTGAGGAGCAGAAAACTCCAGCAGATGTGTAGAGCAGGCAGTGGGGAGCAGTAGCTGTTGCAGTAATATTTACCAGCATTTGTCTGTCAGAGCTCTTTAAAGACTGTTTTGAAGATGTTCATCTTTGTTTGTCTTGCTGGAAATCCTGGTGTGAGTGCCATACATAGCATTGCAGTGTTCTTGGTGGCTGGCATGTACATAAGACAGAGGTCAAGGGTTTTTGTCCCCCCCAGCCCTGCTCCCACCCAGTGTCTCCGCATCTGCAAAGGGAGAAGTGTGCAAATTCAGTGCAGGTGCTAAGCAGGACTTCACTGGCTCCACCCTGCTGCTGGCTTTTGCTTCCTTGGTTTTTAACCAGCATGTGCAGAATGCACAATCAGCATCTTGGAGAAGTGGCTGTAGGAAAAAGGAAGCTCACATAGAATATAAATAGCCAAATTTTAAAATGTGCCAGTGTAGCAGCTTGCCTGGCTCTTGGCATGAGCCTGGCTAGAGACCGCTGCGAAACTGCGGTACTTCATGTGTGGTTTGCAAAGGGGGAACTTCAGGGGATATCACACAAGTCAGCGAGATAAAAAAATGAATGAATTTGACAATCTTGAACATGGGAAGGAAATGAATTTTGCTTCTACGCACGTAAAAATTGGGTGTATCCTCTGCATGTGACACGAAACACAGTGAAAACCCCTGTGCAGTTGTGGTAATACTTTCCACTGTAGTTGCATAGCAGCTGTCAATGATTCATTAATTGATCCAAGGACATTTTATCCTCCTATATGATTAAACTTCTTTATCAATTTAATTCCATCTCTAAAGCATCTGATTTTTCGTGATGTTTGTGTCTGGAGTTTATAACTGCCAAGCCAAATCTCTTTTCTGAGAGACTGTATGGGGGTCTGCTGGTCCTGCTGGACCCAGAGCTCTCCCTCCTCCAGCCTGAAGTCAGCATAACTGAAAGACACACAAGGGTAGGGCTGGTCTGCAGGCTGGGTGATAAAACCTGGGAGAGAGCCCAGGACAGCTGATGTAAAGCATCTTTGGTAGTGATCCCTCTTCCCTATCACTGCCCCATGGGCAGTGGGCTTGTGTGCTCAAGAGGCATCTACTGCTGTCACTTCTGCAGGACAGCACGTAGCTGTGAACAACAGGATCTGGTGGTCTCAGTGGGCAAACTGGGAAGTTTCCACAGCTTTTCTTTTGTTTTGCTGGAAACAGCATCTATAGATGGAAGAAAGAAAATTGGCTGACTTGGACTCAAGTTAGGTACCTTTGCTGTAGGGGGTTGATTTAGAGCAGGTGCAAGCCTTTAGCATTGCTGGCAGCTTTCTCATGACACTCTATCAAGTCCCTCCAGTTCCCAGCTACAGCACCTTGTGGGGTTGGAGGGGGACTCACCTGATATAGAAGCACCTTGTTCCTGTGAGCTTTTGGTGGAGAGGAGAGGTGATGGAGGAGAAGCCCAGTGCTCTTGGCTGCCGGTGCCTTTAGCTGTGTACCAAGGTCACCTCCTCCTTGCTGATGTGTTTTAAACAGCTTTGTCTTTCCACACTGGGGCCAGTGTCCTGGATGGGCTGCTCTGATGGAGCTCCCGGTGCAGGTGTGACATGGGGCTGCAGAGGAGCCAGGGAGTCAGGGTGGGCTCAGGGGCTTGTTCATGGTCCTGTTGGTGTCCAGGCTGCGTTGTGCCAGCCACTGGGGCTCAGGGCTGTCAGCCTGCCTGGGCCTGGGCCAGGTAAGCTGGGGGAAAGTTGGCCTTAGAGCTGCACTACCCCCAGCAGCAAGCATCTTCACTTTGGAAGATTTATTGAGGCAGGAGGGAGATGTATTTTCATGTCATGTTGTCCAGGAGGGTGCAGGGCATGTGTGCTGCTGGGTGCCTTTTCCATTCTTGTGATTCAGACCTGTTTATACTTGAACATAAACTTATGCCATAATTTATCCCAGAGCATAGAACAAGAGAGACTGACGCAGGTGTCTGGAAGCACATCTGTGTCCACTGCCTTGAGCGGATGCTGTCAGGGTTGGTCTGGAAGCCAGTGAATCCAAGGAAAGACATTTGATAGAATCATAGAATAGTTAGGGTTGGAAAGGACCTTAAGATCATCAAGTTCCAACCCCCCTGCCATGGGATGGCAGTACAGCTGGAGTTAGGAGCTTTACAAACCCTTGAGCTTCAACAGACAAAACCTCTCCATAGTCTGGCATGAAATGAAAAGAGCAGGTTCAGCAGAAAGTAAGAAGTCCAGTAACCCTGCCCAGGGCTCTGTCCTCATTCACTGGAACCATGAACAACAAGCTTTTTAAAGTTTTCCCCTTAGTCTTTGAACTGGCTGTGGTTCCCTGCCTTGATTCCTTGCTCATAACAAGCACTTGATTTGAGCAGGGTGTGACAACAGCACAGTGATTGCTGCTGCGATGGCAGTAATATAAGGTGGTGGTTGAAGAACATGTTAGGTGCACATTTGATATATCAGCTCAGGGTCATGTTCAGTGCTTTCTGCTCAGTGTCTCTTGAGATGGGCAGTGCCATCTGAAGCTGGGGCCTTGGGTATGGCTGTTCCCATGTTCACAGGGAACAGTCTGGGAGGATAATATTTTACAGGGAACAGCACTGCTCCTGAGACTCTGTCCTGGGTCGCTCCTTGGCAGCATCTCCCCTGGAAAGCCTTGTGTGGTTGCATTGCTCAGAGGTTTTTGTGTTCCTGAGAGGCAGATTTCAAGGAAAGCCCTTGGCTGCACTGTGATATGCAGGGCGGCTTGTTCCTGAGCCCCTACACCCCAGCATGTGGTCACATCCGCCTGCTAACCGCTTACTGCTTCCAGGCATTGCTTGAGCAGTGGGGTTTTGCTGCATGTTACACTGCCCACCGTTTGGCATGGGGAATGGAGGGCAAGGGAGATCCCACAGTGTTTGAAAGGATTTGGATAAATCCTTCTTAACAGAGGCATTGACTCATCAGAGTGTGGTTAGAGAGAAGGAGGGAAACAGATTATCCTTGTGGGGTTGGAGCTGCCATGGAGCCCCATGCTGGCATGTGGGGCTAGGGGACATGCATGCCTGGACACCTGCCTGAAGTATCCCCTCTTTCCTCACTGAATTTTAGATGGTCTCCATTCCACAGAGCAGAAATGTGAGCCTCGTGGCTGGGTCGGGCTGTGGGCCAGAAGTGCCTGTCCCCAGAGGTACAGGGGCGTGTTCCTGATGTGCCCAAGCCCATCTCAGTGTGGCTCCCTGGGGTTTCCCCTCAGCTTTGAGCTCCCCCTTTGGATTTCTGCCTTCTGTGCATGGCCAGCACTGCGAGAGCTTGTGGGCAGCTTGCTTTGACAGTTGTTATTCATTACCAAAGTGTGCTGAGGTGCTCAGTTTCCACAAAGGCAGATTACTGAGAATGTGGTCAGACCAGGCAGCAATGTCATGTTGTGAGAAAGACAAAGGCTTGGGGAGGGAGAAACAGCTGGGGCTGGGTTCAGGGATGTGCTGCCACCTGCTCCCCTCACTGCCTGGCGAGGGGTCCTCATTCTGCCCAGTACCTGGTGGTGGCAAAGGTAGGAAGAGCTGAGACACCAAACCAGGGGGCATGGAGCAGACCGAGAGCAGCTTCCCAAGTCCTGGCTCTGCCTGTGTGCAGGCTCAGGTGGGCCCAGGCTTAATCTGTCCAGAAAGTTGTCACCTGGTTTGCATTTCTGAGTAGCAAGGGAGACTCACTGCCTGCCAGCCATTGCCTTTGGCTTGCTGGGATGCCTCGTATGAGCCTGCAAGAGCATTTCTGCCACACTTCATTCTCCTTATTTCATGGTGTATCGTATCCTTTTGTGCAGAGCTCCACACAGGAGATTGGAGAAGAGCTGGAGGATGGTGTGATCTACAGCATATCGCTTCGGAAAGTGCAGCTCCATCACACAGCCAACAAAGGGCAGCGATGGCTGGGGGTAAGCTAGGGGCTTCACCAGCCTCTTGCCAGAGGGTGTTTTAAAGATGTTTCCTGCCAGAGTCAGGGCTTTGCAGGGTTGATACCAGCACATGTCTCACCCTCTTCTTGCTCCCCCAAACCTCCTGTCCTGGGGGGTGTCCTTCCAAGCCTTATCTGGGAATCATGTAATTACCTGGGAGCAGTGGCATGGGAGCACCTGCTGGCCTCTTCACAGGAAGCAGTGGCATGGGAGCACCTCTGCCTCTTCACAGGAAGGGGCATGGTGGAAACAATCTAAAGCCCATTTTGCAAAAAGGGCAACTCTGGTTTGCATCTAGATTTTGGCAACTTTGAGGCCTTTCCTGGCATTTCCCAAATGCTCGAGTTTTCTCAGCTGTGTTGCTGGTATTTGGTGTCTGAAGAGACCCGGTTTCCCTTTCTCAGGCCCGTCATGAGAGCCCCAGGTCCTGTGTAGGGTGTCCATGGGCCCTGCCTAGACCCGAACAGTGTCTTGTGAAGCTGAAAGTGTCTGTCTTCACCCAGCCTACTGGCTTCTGATCCTGTCCCCACAGTTTGAGAATGAGTCAGCCTTAAACCTCTACGAGACATGCAAGGTACGGACAATAAAAGCCGGGACCTTGGAGAAGCTGGTAGAATACCTGGTCTCAGCCTTCAAGGGCAACGACTCCACCTATGTCACCATCTTCCTGTGCACTTACCGGGCCTTCGCTACCACCAAGCAAGTGCTGGATCTGCTGCTTAACAGGTGAGGCTGCCCTGAGTCCCAAAACACAGCTGGGGTGGTGTCTAAGCCCCCTCAACAAGGAGAGCCCCAGCTTCTTTTGCTGCCATGCTTCAGAGGGCCGATGGGCTTCTCCCAGCTCCATCAACATGAAGGTTTTGGGGCTGGGCGGGGAGGATACAACCTCCCAGAAAGCTGGAGCCTTTCCAACTGGTACCCTGCTGTGAGGTGGCCAGTGCTGGCTGCTTCCTTATTCCCATAACATGGGGGCTGTGGCAGAGAGGGGAGCAGGGCAGTGCCTGGGAAGTTTATCCTGACCCCCTGGCAGAGCTGGGGGGTGATGCAGAGGGAGAAGAGGCAGCTGATTCAAGGATGCTCACTGCTTCCACGCTGTGCCCCACCAGGTACGGCAAACTCCATGTGCAAATGAATGGGGACCATGCCAGGCATGCTGTGGATGAGAGGATGGAGCTGAAGAAGTAAGTCTGACTGCACTGTGGGTAAACAAGATGGGTAGCTCTGGTGACAGCTCTTTGATTCTCGCTCAAAGGCATTTGTTATTCCTCTTGTCCCAGAGGTGCACCTGAGGCTTATGGGGGTGCTCATGAGAGTGCGCATGGTTGTCTCCTGGCACCCAATTCTCACACAGGCTTGCCTGTGTTTCCCCTCCCTCCCTGCAGCACCATTTCCTCCATCCTGGGTGCCTGGCTGGACCAGTATTCAGAGGACTTCCGGAAGCCCCCGGACTTTTCCTGCCTCAAGCAGCTCATCTCTTACGTGCGCCACAACATCCCTGGCTCAGACCTGGAGCGCCGAGCCTGCATCCTGTTAGCCCAGTTCCAGCAGCAAGAGCAGAGCGAGTCTGAGGTGGAAGGTGGGGGTCTTTTTCCCTGCTTGCAGGGGGCCATTTGGGGCTGCAGGTGGAGGTAGTGCTACTGGTTGGCATTAAGGGTCTCCAAAACCTCGGTTCTTGCCACATGGCTGAACCCCCATAAACTCTGCCTGTGTTTACATGAAGGTGCACCGGGAAGCTAATCCAACTGCACCAGAAGTGGGATTTCTAAATGGATTAGCTTATCTGCCCTTAAGCCTCTGCAGATACATGTGTTCAGGTTTAAAATGACTATGCTTTTATCTGAGCCTCATTTATCATGGTGTAAAGCCAGGTGGGAATTAAAAGCCCGGGTGGTGGGATATGGGTGTCCATGTCCACAGGGAGCTGAAGTGGTTCATCATGGGCCCCAGCTCCTGTCAGCACTGTGGTGCTCAGCTTCACACCATCTCTCACAGCTGTGGACCACAGTGGCTGCACCTTTCAGCTGGTGGAAGAGAACGGGGTCGGGGACAGGAAGCCGGATTTCCTCTCCTTCTCCCCAGAGATGGTAGCAGAACAGTTCACACTGATGGATGCTGTGAGTATTCATCCAACAGCTAGGTCAATGTGCTTTGCCTGCCTGATATCTGCAACTCTGGCCACAGGCCTGTCTCCTTCCAGCCATCTCTTCCTCCTGGCTTGTTCTATTCCCAGGAAAAGTAGACACCCATCCCCATGCCTTTATCTTCCAGGAGCTGTTTAAGAAAGTGGTGCCTTACCACTGTCTGGGCTGCATCTGGTCCCAGCGAGACAAGAAGGGCAAAGAACACCTGGCACCCACCATCCGTGCCACGGTTTCGCAGTTTAATAGTGTGGCCAACTGTGTCATTGCCACATGTCTTGGAGACCGGTCCTTGAAGCCACAGCACAGGGCTAAAGTGGTGGAGCGGTGGATCGAAGTGGCTCGGGTAGGACAGCTTACTGTCCCTCTCGGCCCAAGGGCTGAGGTTTTGCAGTGCATGAATCCCAGCAGATCCCTGAGCTTTCCCTAATGCTAAGTCTTGTCATCTCCTTGTCTGCCCCAGGAGTGCCGCATCCTGAAGAACTTCTCCTCCCTCCGAGCCATTCTTTCGGCTCTGCAGTGCAACGCTGTTCACCGGCTGAAGAAGACCTGGGACGAGGTCCTAAGGTAAGGAGCACCTGCTGGGTTCATGTGGCCGCTGGGAGGTTTCAAGGGGCAGGTTATGCTGTGGCTGCTGTGGTCCTTAAATATGTAGATGGGATCATCTCAGCTCCAGCACTGCTTCTTGTAGTGTGCCCAAAACACAGGGACCAGTGTAAGGTCAGGGAGGAGATAAAAGTGTTATGACCTCCTTGCCATGTGAAACACCCTTCAGTAGCCCCCAAACAGCAAGGCCCTTCTAGAGCTATGAGCAGAGCTGGGGTCATTTGGGTGAGCAGAGGAGGAGACCAACTGTGACAGCACTGCTGACTTTTCCCCTGAGCAGGGAGAGCTTCCGCACTTTCCATGAACTCTCAGAGATCTTCTCCGATGAGAACAACCACTCGCTGAGCCGGGAGCTTCTCATTAAGGTATGGGGAAGTGGCATCCACATCTCTCCGTCTTTGGCATGGAGCTCAGGCTGGTGTCAGCACAAGTTTCTGCAGTGTTCCAGTCACCAGAATAAAGCCTTGTCAGTGCTGCTGAGGTGTCAGGCAGGGGTGCAGGCAGGGTGTGCTGGGTCTGGGGAGCAGGCAGGGGTTTTGGACTAGGCTGTGCTTTCTGCTTCTCCACCAAAAAGTCAACATTGTCTGCAGCTTGCAGAGAAATATTCAGCAAGCAGAGATAAGCAGTGGGATAGGATCCAGTGCGTCAGGTGACAGCTTCTCCCCGGAAGCAGCTGCATTTTAACAGCACAGTGTGAAATCCTCTTGATGTCCGGTGGGGTTGTAGAGTTTGTGAAAGGATGCAGCAAAACTGTCCTTCTTCCCATTGGAGCCTCTCTGCAGCTTCACAGTTTGGGGGCTGAGAGGACACAAAATGCAAAAAGGAACAAACCATTTCATTGAGAAGGTTTATACAGAGCTGGAAATGGGAGCAGGAGTTCCTGTTCACTAAGCTGCTCCTCTCTGTGAGCCATGAAAAATCGCAGGTTTGATTTCTTCCCCTTCCCTTCATCCCTCTTTTCCTCTACAAGGAAGGTTGTACAAATAAAAGCAGTTGTGAATTTTAGCTCCTCTATTAGTACAATTTTCCGTGCTGATCTCCACCTCTCCCTACCATCCAGGAAGGCACATCCAAATTTGCCACCTTGGAGATCAACCCAAAGAGGGCTCAGAAGCGGCAGCAGCAGCAGAGAGAAATGGTGAGTCTGACACAGGTGCTGCTATGCCCGCTCCCTGGTGGGTGCTCAGGCTGGTCCCAGCTCTCTGCTGACCTTACTGTCCCTTCTGTCCCCACAGGGTGTGATGCAGGGCACCATTCCCTACCTTGGCACCTTCCTTACTGACCTGGTGATGCTCGACACTGCCATGAAGGATTTCCTGGATGTATGTCCCTCCATCTCTGTTCTCCCCTTCCTCTCTTTTCTCCACACAGCAACCTCAGAGGCTGGGCTGATGAAAGGAGGGCTTGTTACCTGTGCATCCTACATCTGACACTGCACCCTGCACATCCTATATTCAACACTGCACATCCACTGCTGTCAGCACATGGAAATGGGCCAGTCTCACACTACCCCTCAGCAGGGACACAGGCACTGTAGTGGCAGGGAGGGATGTGCCTGCTGCACACTGACATTTGGCTCACTCTTTTCCAGGGCGGGCTGATCAACTTTGAGAAGAGAAGGAAGGTGAGAGCTTTTCCCAGTCTGCAGCACAGCAGGGTGGAAGGAGGAGGCTGACTTGGTGCTAGCCCAGGCTATGCCAGTCTCTTTGGGGTCGATCCCTCTCCTGTTTTGCTGTCATGCCTTCATTTTTGGGGAGAAGGATTCTGGTCCTTCACATCTGCCTCCATACATGGGACTGGCCTGTTTTGGAGAAGACTCTGGCTGGCAAACAGATCTGGTCTCATGGCGTCTATTTACTGCAGGAGTTCGAAGTCATTGCTCAGATCAAGCTGCTTCAGTCAGCCTGCAACAACTACAGCTTCACGCGGGAGGACCAGTTCGTGGACTGGTTCCACAGTCTGGAGCGGCTCAGTGAGGCTGAGAGGTGAGTATGATAGGGAACTTAAGGCTGTGCTGCTGCTGGTGCATGGGGAGGTCCCACTGCTGGTCTCCTCCAGCTAATGAGCAGCAGCTACCCCACGCTCCAGTGTCTGTGCTGCCTCCTCTCCACAGCCATGGCAGCATGGAGAACTCAAACCCTCATCTTTCCCTTCCTAGCTACGGGCTGTCATGTGAGATTGAGCCACTGTCAGAGTCAGCCAGCAACACGTTGAAAGCAAAGAAAAACACAGGCATCATCAAGCGATGGAGCGAGTGAGTCTGCTTGTCCCCGGCAAGATGCAGGGTGGAGACAGGGGCAAATATGGGGCATCACTGGCATTGCAGGGAGCCAGGCTGTGGTGGCCACTGTCCTGCCAGCCAAGTGCACACCTGCTCTGCCCTGTTCTCACCTGCCCTGCATCTCTCCTGGCAGCCGGCAGCCACCAAGCACCGAGCCCTGTGGCAGCAGCAGCTCCCACTCAAAATCCTTTGATCAGCTCAAGTGTGGGCAGTACCTGTGCAGCGGGGATGCCACTGATTCAGTGAGCGTCACCTCCGCTGGCTCCAGCAGCTCCGATGTGGAGGAGATCAACATCAGCTTCATCCCTGAGTCCCCCGACTGTCAGGAGAAGAAGGTATGGGGCAGTTTATGGGGTCCGGGCCTCTGGAGGCAGGTGTGGCCATTGTGTAGGAACTGCCCCAGCTCTGGTGCTGGCACTGGGTCTGGGGGATTCCCAGAGGTTGTTTCTGATCCACTGGGGTGAGGGAGGCCCCTCCCCTTTGCTGCTCCAGCGGAATGGCAAGGCTCTCTCACCTCTGGTGGCTGTAGTCATGTCAGTCCCCTGTTCTCACAGGTCAGTGAGATCCCTCTGGCCTCCCTACCCCAGCGCTGGTACGCCCTGTCTGTGGCCAATGGAGAAGTTAAACCTGCTGTGTCCTCCGCATCCCCTCTCCTCCCTGCCCTCCAGTTCTGGGAATCCACGTCCCTCTCCTCCCTGGACACATCAGGCATTGGCTCAGGCTCCAGCAGTGCCTCATCCTCTTCAGTCTCCTCCACACCAGTGACGGCCTCCCGTACCCACAAGCGCTCAGTCTCTGGCATCTCCAGCTACTCCTCGCTCTCGCTGCCCCTCTACAACCAGCAGGTTGACGACTGTTGCATCATCCGTGTCAGCCTGGCTGTGGACAACGGCAACATGTACAAGAGCATCCTGGTTAGTGCAGGGCATGTGTGGTGATGCCAGGAAAGGGTGGCTCACCCCACTTGGTTGTGGTCAAGGCCCATTTTGGGGGTAGGCCGTAGTGAGAGGCTTTGCCGTGTTTTGCACCCTTTGGTTAATAATGTTCTCTGCTTGCAGGTGACGAGCCAGGATAAGACCCCAGTTGTTATTCGCAAGGCCATGGCAAAACACAACTTGGATGGGGACAGGCCTGAAGACTATGAGCTCATTCAGATCATCTCAGAGGAGAGAGGTGTGTGCTGGGGTGTGGGGGCTTTCCGGGGGTCTATATCCTCAGCCAGCCATGAAGCCCTGCAGCCTGGCTTGGAAGCTGGACTTGGAGCTGTCAGTACCTGGGGACAGCCCTCAGCCCCATTCTGCCCCCCCCTTCAGGGAAAGGGTACCCAACTGACCCCCATCCTTGGTCATTTCCAGAGCTGAAGATCCCCGACAATGCCAATGTCTTCTATGCCATGAACTCTGCTGCCAACTATGATTTTGTGCTCAAGAAGAGGGGCTTCTCCAAGGGAGTGAAGATCAAGCATGGCTCCAGCTCCACCCTGCCCAGGATGAAGCAGAAAGGCCTGAAGATCGCCAAAGGCATCTTCTAGCCTCAGCCCCACTGCCACCCATCACCAGTGGGGCTTTGGGGGCATGCTGATCCGGCCTTGGCTGCAGGTGGTCCTTGTGCTGCCTGGCACAGCAAGAGCAGTGGCCCTTGCCCACAGGTCCCGCTGTGCATCGCCCTGCTGCACCAAGAGCCGGGCACTTCATCAGCCGGTGTCGACCTCGGTCTGTTTCGGTTGGGTCCTTGTTTCTGCACAGGAAGACAGCAGAATGGGGGCCTCTCTCTCCCCCTCACTCTCTGTTCCCCTCCCGCCTGGTGTGACACTAGTCCAGCCCAGCCACTGGGCAGCCCTTGGCTGAAGCTGCCTCTGCCGTAGGTGCCTTGTGTCCGAGCAAGCCAGGGAGTAGTGACTCACAAGAGGGGCCATCTGCAAGGAGTAGAGCACAAGCACATGGTGGGGTGCTCTTCTTCCCAGCTTTCCTGGTGGTGTTTTACCTCCATGTCCTTCCTCCCCTGGATAACTGGCATCACTGTTGCCACACTTCTCTGCCTGTCATTCCTTTGGGAGAAGCTGTGGATGCCCTGGTCTGGGAAGTGAGCTGGAAAGGATGCAGCCCTGCACCGATGCTTGGAGCCCTGTGGAGGAGGGCTGTGTCCATGCCATGATGGATTGGGTGGCTCATACTCCCAACAACTGAAAGCCTGCATGGTCTCTCTTCTCTCCCAAGTCCAGCATGCCCCACAGCTGGACTTTCACAGCCCATGTTCAAACTTGCACCAAAGATCAAACGTCAGTGTCTCTTCTGCCATCTGAGGAAGCTTTGGGCTGTGCCCCAAGTGCTGCCAGCCCACGAGGAGGAGAACAAAATTCTGTTTGAACTCGTGTAAATAGGGTCCTTGGGTCTGCATGGGCAGGTGAGGAGCCAGAGCTTCTGGTGCCCCAGCTGCTGCCCACAGAAAGTGCCACACGCCTTGGGCTTCAACCAGACTTTTTCAAACACTGACCATGGGAGAAGCAGCACTGAGACTTCTTTTGTATAAAACAAAATAGTTTACTGATTTCTCCCCCCCCCCCCCCCCATATTTATTGGTTGTAAATAGAAGAGTCAAACGTGTACATTTTACTAATCCAGCCTCCGCCTGCCCTGCAGTCCAGTCCCTCCCCCCACCCTGGTATTTAAGGGTGCCTGGAGGGACAGTGATAGCAGCAGTCTCTCTGCCATGCTCATGGGGTGCAGGCACTGCTGGCCACCCTCCCCTCCCGTTTTTCTACCATCCAAGCAGGAGCAGAGATGCTTGTTTTAATCGCTGTAGGGAACACTAACCAAAAGGGGACCATTTTTTACTCCTCCATCTCTTTTAATTTTTTACCTTTCAGCGTGCTTCCTTCCAAAGTGGTGTTCCCGTTTCCCTCTGTCCATGCTCCTGGGGGTCGCAGCACCTCTTCTGTAGCAGAGGGGCCTGGGCAGCACCTGGGGATGCAGCAAGGCTGCATGGCCACGCTGGGGACCGGCGCTGCTGGCAGTGTGCTCTCACAGCCCTCTATCCCCTTGGGTGGCATTGCACATCTCTGCACATGATGGGAGCCCATGGCTCCCTGACACGGGCAGCCTCCTGCCTCCCACCCTGCTCAAAACCCAGCCCTTGGGCACCAGCATCCAGGGTCCTCTCTCTGCTCTGTGCTGCCATCTCCTGCCCACCCTGGGGCCATGCTGGTCCCCCTTCCCCTAGTGTCCCCCAGCAACCCAGTGTCATCGGACGGACTGGCTGTACCGTATGTATTTTGTACCACTTCAGTGAAGGCGCACACTCCCTGGTGTGACTTGTACACAGCAATGTAATTTAATATTTGCAGTAAAATACTGATGTTCAAACGTCTCTGTCCCAGGGCAGAGTTTGTCCTGTCCTCCTTCCCTAAAATGCTGGCATGTTCCTGGAGAAAGAAGAGTAGGCCTAACTGTGGGGAAGGTGGTTGCTACCTTACATTAACTCAGCTGAGCTGAGCTTTATTTTGTGTTTGAAGTAAGCTACAGGCTTTTTGTTTGAGGGGCCAGTACCTTATTTTCAAATGAAACCTATTCATTTGAACCTGTGACTTGTTGGGACTTTCGCATTTTCTGGTTGCGTCCAATTTACTGGATGTCCTTTCAATATAAGCAATGGCTTTAAGAGCAAATGCAGTGGTTGGTCCTTATGGTCTGGATACAGTGATCTGCCTTGGTTTGAGGCATCATTCTGGTGCTCAAGGGCTCATTTCCTAGCATGGCCAGAATGCTTATCTTCTATAACTGCACAAATGGCAGTGGATATTACTTGGATATTGTGTTGATTCAGAGTGTGGATATTAAGGATGCAGCAGCATAATCAATAATTTTGCTGTGCCTGTGGCTATGTAGATCCATTTAAGGCCTAAGCTTTTGGAAATGAAAGGATTGCATTGTACATTCAGGGCTGGTAATGCTGTTACCTGCTCAGGAAGAATTAAACACCCAAATTGCTACAGCCTTCCAATACAGGGAAATTTTGAAAATGCCAGGAAAGTGAATGAACTCTGGCACAAGTGACTGCTAGCTCCTTTGGCTTTGGGCCTCCTGTTCATAGGAAGCCTGTGTTTTTCTTAGCATTTACAAGAATGTTTATTTGTGATGCTTCCTAGTATCTGAGCACATATTCTGACATAGCAGCACTGTGTCCACTACATCTCTCCTTTTCTTCTTAGTGCTGTGATGTGCTGCACCGACAAGCGTAAGTCCATTGCACAGCCGCTTGTGCCTCAGAATTCCCACACTGGCAGGACTGACAACTTACCTTGGCTGGAGGCGCCCTTAGACAAAACAACAGATGTGCAGCATCCCCCCCTCCCCCCCCATATTAAAGCCATAACAATGCCTTTGTACCTACATCTGCAGCCTGTGCTACCCTGAGGTTTGCACAAAGCAAAACACAGGATCTCCCAGCACGCCATGATGAGCACACACCTGAGTGCTCAGATGCAGCTTCTATGGGGATACACGCATACATAAATACATATGCTGGATACCCAGCAGCACAGCTGTGTGTCACAGTGTGAAAGCCCTGCAGATGTTGCTTTTGTGGGCTGCAAGCCAAACCTAAGGAAATACTTCAGTCTAATAAAACTCCAGCGCACACCAAAAAAGCTGAAGCATTGAGAAGCCTCACACAAGCCCAAGAGTCTCAAAACACACTGAACATGCAGTAGAGTATATTATTGGCAACTAATGAGAAACCTTGTGCTCGTAATGCACAAGACTCTGAAAATGCCAGCAGATCCTTAATTTCTGCAATAGGGTGGTACCAATCCAGATGTCAGTGGCAGACTTAGGAAGTGGCCAGCCTCTGTGGACCTGAAGCTCTGCTCCATTGCCTGCTTCCTTCTGTCTCTGCTAACTACCAGAGAAGTCAGAACAGGCTTGAGAAGCACACTGGCTCGTGAGGACAACATACACTACATATTGTGCAAAGGAGTTACTCACTGCCGGAAAGTGTTCTTTCCTGCTGGCTTTATTTCCAAGATCACCAGGTGAGGTCTGATGCTCAAGTTATGGCCCAGGATTTTCATTCCCCTTAGACAAGCAGAAGGGCAGCACCTGTCTTGAGGACTGCAGTTAAGACGAGTGCTGTCCTCATGTCCATTCCCTGTTTTCCATGTGGACACCAAGCCAGTTAAAGTGCACTTCCTACACATGGAAACATTTGGGTATGCAGCTTCTCCTCTCTTCTGGTATATTACCATCTGCTTTGGATTCTGCGCTCTGTCTTAGGAGTTTGTTGAGCTTTACTTGAAGACTTACTAGCCAGCAGTTACGAAAATACAGGTAATGCTCCCTAACATCAAGAATGGATGACAGCAATCAGCAAGCACCACAGTTAGTGCAGTGAGCTTGTCATCCTCTTAGTACAACATCCTGGGCATGGTTGCTGAACCTTCAGCTCTCAGGGTCCAGCAGCAGACAGTGTTAGTCGAGCAGCAGCCAGACTGCTCCCCGAGTTCACACGTAGTCCAGAATTTCTGTCTCCATTTCATTTTCACTCCCATCAGAAGGCTTGAAGTCCTCTTCCTCCTCTTCATCATCCTCATCCTCTGCAGACTCATATGCCAGCTGCTCTTCACTATCTTCCCTGCTTCTTTTATTTGAGAAAAGAGCTTAATTGGGAAGAAAGAAAGAAAGACACCATGATGCCTCTCTCAGTGAAACTTGTGGGCATCTGCAGTAGAGTTCTCAAAACATGTGAGAGGAAGGCAGAAGCTGGAGGGGCACAGCCACTATTTCACATCTTAATAGACTTTGATTAAGCCCAAAGCCATCTGTTTCCATATTCCAGAAATGCTAGCAGAACACTGGCACATCTGCAGTGCTGTGCCCCTTCTCCCGGCTGATTCTGATCTCTCTCACTGGGATACTGCTTTGGCTCAGCATGCAAAAATAATTTCCTTGCTTATTCTTTGATTAATAACATAAATAAAAAGTAAAATGCCACCAGCAGATACATCATTAAGAATAGGATCTTGATTTTCACTGTGCAAAGACATTTAAAACCTGAAGGCTGTGACACTGGGAAGATGAAACAGATGACCTTTACTTCCAGCTATTCCCAATAATAGTAGTAGGCAGTAAGACAGTAATACACTTTGATGTTCAGAAGCATCCCTACCAGGTCTTGTGGATCTGATTATATGCTTTATCATCAGAGACATGGTATCTCGCAGCTCATCGCTAGTCTTTGGAACGCACCATCCATCCCGCTCTGTGCATTCTGACTCGGTGCCATCATTACGATGGATGATTTTCTGTAGCCTAAAAAACAGCAAAAGAGAAGGAAATGTTAGCCTTCTACTTTCAGATACAGGCTTCAAATGAGGCAGGGTATGCCTTACTTCCCTTTTATTTCATTGAGTTGGAATAGCATATTTATTCGGGTAATTGTCATATGAGACTGGAAGTTCACGTGTGAAAAGTCTGTTCTATTTTAATGAAGCTAAACACCTCTCAAGTCTATGGTCGAGAGAGGGGAATGGACTGGCTATAAACAATACGGAAAATCCCAGGCACAGCTACAGGTTGGGTGGAGAAGTGATTCAGAGCAGCCTGAGGACTTGGGTATGCTGGTTGATGAGAAACTGAACATAAGTCGCTTCAGTGTGCACCTGATGCAAGAACCACCCATGTCCTGAACGGCATCAAAAGGAGCATGACCAGCAGGTTGACAGAGGTGATCCTGCCCCCTCTGCTCTGCTCTGCTCTTGTAAGACCCCACTTGCACCACTCTGTGCAGTTCTGGTGTCCTCACATAAGAAAGACATTGAGCTGTTGGAGCAAGTCCAGAGGAGGCCACGAGGATGATCAGGGGCTGGAACACCTCCTGTTTAAAGACAGGTTGACAAAATTGGGGCTGTTCAGCCTGGACAAAAGAAGGCTGCATGGAGACCTCAGAGTAGCTTGGAGAGGGCTACAAGGATGGTGGGGAGGGACTCTTTATCAGGGACTGTAGTGATAGGACAAGGGGTGATGGGTGAAACAGGGGAAGTTCAGGTTGGATATAAGGAAGAAATTCTTTACTGTGAGTGGTGAGGTGCTGACACAGGCTGCCCACGGTGGTTGTGAATGCTCCATCCCTGGCAGTGTTTAAGGCCACGCTGGATGGGGCTTGGGCAACCTGGTCTAGTGGGAGGCATCCCTTCCCATGACAGGGAGGTTGGAGCTAGAGGAACTGGATGATCTTAAGGTCCTTTCCAGTCCACACCATTCTATGATTCTATGCTGGCTTTGAAATCTAGCTCTAACAGAAGACTCAGCTGCCAGTGTGCAATACCTTTCTACATTCAAATCACAGAGCTGGTAGAACATCTGCCGATAAGGGGGTAAGGCTCCTTCTTGGAAAATATAAATGGATTCCTAAGAGGAGGAAAGAAGGAGAAAAGATTAATGTGCATTTTTATGGTGCAACAGGACAACTTTGGTGTAACTGATCAGTACTTCCAGTTGGCTGAATCAAGAATAAGGCGCTTCCAATGCAGATCAGTTCCAAGACACAGGGCTGCATATGATAAAAGATAAAGCTGAATGAGGAATGCAGCAAAACTTCACTGCAGCAATAGTCACAACAGCACAGTTGTGCAGAGAACACATTTCATCTCTCAGACTGCAGCTATGCAGCCTGTTACTGTTTAACAGTGGCTCATAGGTTTCATTCTAACAAAAAGGGAAGAACAAAAGACTCCTGGCTTGTAGGACAACTTGATAAATACATGGCCATTTTTTGCGTTTCGTTGCTCACAAAGTATCAGTTTTATCAACTGAAACAAAATGCTCATGACATCATCTAAGACTAGGGCTGAGAGTATCAATGCCATCTTGCAGAAATACATTCAGCAGGTGAAATTCTGTAGTGATGTGTATAACTAGCAGCTTCCCACGAAATCTGAGGACATCAATTCACCCACAACTGTTCCCTCACTCACTGACAAAATGGTAAACAACACTTTTCCACTAAGTTATTTTAAGATTCTTGTTAAAGAGAGTAATAGTTACCTTCAGTTTATATCTGCTGGAGGCAGTCTTTTTTGCACCAAGGGCACTGGGTGTACCAAGCCCCTGTTTCAGATCATGTACACTTACTGTGTGACTTACTGAAAGACAAAAAAAAGAGTCCTAATTAGGGACATCTTTCATCCTGTGGCATTGTACTATCATTTCTCTATGCTGACTCAACTTTGCTGGTTGAAAAAACCAGACCAAGCCAGCAACTGAGCACATGTTGCTCATTCTTCAAAGACATTTCTAGACAGGTACAGGAACAGCGGCAAGTTTGGTGGCTTTTTCCGTAACACATTTGTTCAGAATTTTAACCTCTTCTACTGTTCCTTGACAAAGAAAACAGAAACCTCTCCCCTTACTCTGCACCATCACTGAAGTGAATGCTGAATTTCCTCAGTATTGCTGGCAGAACTCCCTTGTCTGCTACCAGGTACTGTGGCTCAGCCAGACATGCACCAAAGACTCTCACAACACTTCCGAGGAGATTCTTCTACTGGCTTAACAGCAACACCACATTATAACCAGAAATAAAGCTCCAGTTTTGGCTCAGGTAGAAAACAGGAAGACCCTTCACCACCTGGCACTAGGGTGGACTAAACAAACAAAAGAGCCAGAAAGCCCTTATGCAGGCACAGCGTACCAGGCTTCTTGACTGTGATGGGCAAATTGTAGTTATATGTACTGCGTTTTGCTTTCACAGGCATGTCATTAGAGGCGTAACCTAGAGGAGAAAAGAGAAAGCCAGTAATGAACAGAGGGTAAGCACACTGCAGAATATCCCTAGCTCAGTAACAAGTGGTGGGCTGGTATATGAAAGGCAGGGTAATCCTTGGGCTACCATGATTTTAGCAAGGTGGGGAGAGGAGAGCTGTCATATCTATAAAATCGTTTAGACTGGGTGATGTGATGTGACGGCAATGACTGGATGCTAGCTCTCCCATGGACTGACCTCAGAAAGGTCTGAGACTGAGCATCCTGCACAAGATGAGGTCCTTCCTGAGTTCCTCGAGGGAAAGCTACTAGGTAAGTAACAGAATGTATTGCTCAGTGCCTCCCCTGAGTGAGAGGGAAGACGGTCTGCTACATCCACTTGGGATTTGAATACATGGAGGAGAAAAGTCAGCCAGCTGACTATACAGTCAGTCCGCTGAGTTTGGAATGTGCCAAATGAGGAAAGACTATTGCCTACTATAAAATAAATGTATTAAAGGAATACAAAAGAGTATGAGAAACAAGTAAAAAGAAAAGTACTATCAGGATTAATCAGAAAGCAGAGAGAGCATCTCTGTGGGTTGGGCGTTTTTACCATATTTCATTCCACAGCGAATTCGGAAGTCCAGTACTTGATAAATCTTTGCTTCAGGATGTTTTCTGGGGTCATACCCAAACCTAACCCATAGGCTTCTCCAAGGACCTGTTAACTATAAACACACATGCGGGAACATGGTTACAAAAAAACAGGACAGTGTTGTATAATTTCTTCAGTACAGTGTTGCAGAGGGTCTTAAAAAATTTTAGTATTTCCCCTCATTTTCCAAAGGTTATTTCTTTTACCAGACCTTTCCTCACTTGCCACAACATGTATTTATCTACTGAAACTCAAGTCAATCAATGCATCGAAGCACAAATATTTGTGTGCTTTTACAAACTGACTTGCAAGGTCACCATAAAGTGTTTGCTTGGAAAAAACCTGCTATCTATGCCAGATGAACAGTTAATTTGAGTGTCTGACTGAACTGCAGAGCTGATTAGAAGCAATAATGCGAACAGTTTCTGAATCTTCCACAGCTTTAACGTCTGTTCAGAAGCTAGGCTTTCCTTCCATCATTCTCTTTACATAAGATTAAGCACAGGTACTTTGGTGGTAGGGCCTCAAAAAATGCTAAAGAGCCAGAAACACCCAGCTGATGCTTCCTTGCTCTGCCTCGTAGCAGCCTCAGACAGGCACAAGGGCAACTATACAGACTTACCATGTAATAGGCCAAATACGGCAAAAGAAGTTTCAGCTTGTCTGGGTGGACACTGATATTGGCTTTCACTGCATTCCGAGACCAGACAGGACGGACTTCAAAGAGCTAAAATAATACAAAACCAACCATGGAACAGTGGGAAGTGAGTTACCAAGGGCAGTTCAGCTTTCCAAGTGGACTTTTTCTATGCTGGGGTCTTTGGCTACCAAAATGGTAATGCAAGAACTAGCGGCAGGAAAAGGAACTTCATGTGAGCTGGCTGCAAAAACATTCAGATCTTGACATGTACAATTGAACTGAACACAGCAATGTCAGCGGTGTCTACTGACACTTGCTATATCAGTCAGTTACAATCACCAAGAATTTTTGGGGAAGTCAGAGAAAATGGCTGCCTGCAGTTTGTTCCTTCACAGTATGCTGCAGTACAGCCCTCAGCCCACGAGTAAGGCACGTACGTACCTTTTTCAGCTCTTCCTCCACCTTTTTATCCACAGGATTTGTGCACACTTTCTTCCAGGTCTGTACAGCAGCATCCAGTGGTTTAGCGGGGACCTCTTTGTCATCAAAGTTCACAAAGATAGCATTGTGTGGTCGACGGGCCCTGCTGAGGCCAATCAGGTTCTCACCAGACACCTGGGGATTGTTGTATCCTTCCCTAAGAAACAGGGAAAGGATCAGGTCTGCTTTTTGCCTGGGGCACACACAGACCTGGGGCCTTCACAGGAAACGTGAAAATGGAAGCCTGTGCTCAAGGTTTTGGAAGAGAAGGGACTCGGCTTCAGTGAGCAATGGGTCAGTTTGTCTTTCACCCCACCTCCCTATCACATACTGGTACCATAAAGGAATCTTGTGACACCACTGAGGAAAGTTTAAATATTAAAAAAAAAAAAAAAGAGAAAAAACCTGCAAAACAACATGAAAACTACATACAGTTCCACAATGACAGAGCTCTCTGCACTACCTGGCAGAAAACTCCTGGGGAGTTACCCCAGTGCTCTGTATGAAATGCATTAGCAGCACAAAAGGCTTCACACTCCCCATTTGCTCCTCTGTAGCTACTGCAGGTTGGTAGGTACACAGACCAGGCAAAATGGAAATGCAGTTAAGATAAATAAATAAATATATATTTTTAAGTGCCAATGAAGGACCACAGTGAGAAACCAAAATATGTTTCTTGTGGGAGAGTTCACAGGTTGTTCTTCTGGCAAAACCAACTGGTGACCAAGAGGGACCAAGTCCAGTGAGCACAGTCACAGGAACACATGGCACTGACTCCTGCACACTCCCCCTCGGCTCCAGCCCGCTGGAAGCAGGCAGAAAGCCAGGCTCACTGCATGCCATGCTTCCAGGAGCATGCTGGGGGAGGCTGCCATCTGCAGCAGATCACCAGCTCCCCTCACCTGGCAAGGCCTCAGGTGGACTTTTGCTGGGGTTTCTGCTGTCCAGGCAGTTTCTGAAGGGTGCCTGCTTCTGCTGTGCCAAATCAAGAGGGGTAAAACAGATTAAGGCATCAGCTTAAACAGGAGAAACACATGAATTATTTAGTTCTGCTCTGATGCTTTGAGAGCAGAGATCCTATAATAACAGTGAAGTCAGAATGAATTCGAGGCATCTTCAAGTGGTTATACCTCAAGTAGAAGTATATATCAAACCAGGAAATCTTTTCACTACCTGTCCATTCCAGAACCAACACAGCTATATGCTACATTGTGAGAAAAGGCACTAACCGGTGTTGTATATCTGGCCGATAAAAATAGTCAATGGGAGTGTCCAGACGTGAGAAAATTGGTGGTGGGATGTAGAGTGGTAACTCTCTGTTGAAAAATTCTTCCTTCTCTGGTTTGAGCATTAGGACTTTGTTGTACATGGAAGTTTGTTTTCCATCAGAACCAGAGTGCATTGCCAGGTACTGGAAATCAGACATTCCTGTGCGAAACAGAATTTAAAACATAGTAAAGTTAATTGTGAATACACCAGTATTTCTCACAACACTCAATTTACATGAGCAGGAGTCTGACAAGTTTATGCAAAGGTTTACACACCAAGTAGGCTATAACAACAGGATATTTGATTTTCCTTTCAGTCCTGAATTGTTTAAAGGGAAACACTTCTCTTTCCCATCAGACACACTTTGTCTTTAAGTCACGTGGACACAAACCCAAGTACTACCTTGAAATTTGTAAACAGTCGCAACAGTCCCAAGAATTTCCATTTCAAACTCGACTTCAGGCTGGATTTGTTCTTTGGTATCCAACTGCTTTTTCTTTTTGGTCCTCCTCTTCACCTTCAGCAGCAGGGTGGAGGTTGGGAAGCGATTGGCACATACGGGATGGCAGTAGGGGTCCTTGGGGCGGAAATACAGCTCCAGCCTTTTGGCGGGGTCCGCATAGATCTGTCAGCAAGGCCAGGCACATTCTCCGTCAGCATCTCACCTGCACAGCCCATCTCCTCGGGCCTCTAGCACCAGCCCCGCGCGCTCGCACCGCCTCAGGGGTAGGAATCGCCGCCACACTAGGGCCGGCAGCGCTCCGGGTGGACGGGCAGCGGATCCTGCCCTGGCCGGCACTTCCCGCCTCCTCTCGCGGGCAGCTGCCGTGCAGACGAGCGGCATTACCCCGCAGCCACGCGTGGAGCCTGAGCGGGCACATGCAGGGCCTGGGCAGTCGGACAGAGCGAGCCCGCAATGGGAGGCTCCCTGCCCCCCCCCTCAGCCCCTCCCCAGCGCCTGGACTGGCCTCCCTACCCCCCAGACCCTCCGCCCTGATCACCTCCACCTCCCCCGGGGTCCCCTCACCCGCGACACCCCCTGCTCTCCTCCCAGCGTCCGCAGCATGGCCCCGACGTCCCGCACCAGCCCCGGGTATTCCACGCACACCAGCCGCGGCGTGCGAGGCAGTTCCAGCACGGCCGAGCCCGGCTCTCCCAGCCGCCCGCACTCAGCCATCGCTCCCCGCCCGGGCCGCTCCCGGCAGTCGCTCTTGACCTCAGAACAAAAGTTCCGCCCCAGGACGGTTCCTACGGCAGCGGCGCGAGGCCGGGGCGGTCCCGATAGGGGTGGCTGCTGCGGGAGCGAGCGCCGCCGGGCTCAGGCTCCTCCTCTGCTCGCGCTCAGAGCCGGATCTCCCCAGGCTGGCCTCTGCCCACAAGCCTGTGCGGCACGACATCCTCCGGCTTTTTTTGCCCCCTTGGAGCTTCTGAGCCGATTTGTGGGCACGTATGGTGATAGTTCACCCACTGGTTTGCGTTCATATATATTACCACTGTAATTATCTAAGAGGTGCTTGTAATTAGCATGGATGTTGACAATGACGTGCGGATATTGAGCGGGCAGGACTGGATTAATCCTGTCCAGTCAGCCATCACACAGGTGATGAGGTAAAGCAAACCCTGTCAAGTGCTTGCTTGGTCCAGAGGGAGCCGTGGCTCTTGTGTCAGCAGCTTCCCTGGCACATCACAGTGTAACCGGGTCAGGGGAACACGCATTGCCCAAAGGCTGGATGTCACTTGCCTTAACAGTGGGGAGAAAATCCTGTCACAGCAAAGACATGGAGAAAACAGAATTGCTCAGTTACAAGCAAGCTTTTAATGAATGAGGTCTCTCTTTAAAAAGTTGTTTTGTCTTTGTTATCTGCTGAGCAGCTCTTCAGTCAGGGTGATGTTGCAGCCAGCGGCAGATTCTGATAGACAGAGTTCCAGAAGTTCACATACTGGGATTTCAGATTCTGCTTCACAGAGTTTTGGTTTATCTTGTTGTTGATTTCCAGGTAGTAACTGCCCTCACTGGCATAGGGTGGCCAGGTAATAGGCACCTTTGAATTCCCTTTGTTAGGATCACTGGGGGAAAAGGAGACATAGAAATGCATTTGTATTAGGGCAGCTTGTGGATACAGCAAGGTCTGAGTTGTTTGGCAGGGACACTGCTCAGGTGAGGCTTTGAGTGAGTGCAAAGAAGATGTTGGACACTGGGACAAGCAATAGCAATTCTCCCTGCTAGGAGCAACCTGGTGACCTGCAGTCTCCTCCCTTGGTCCCTACTAGCATCATCCCTGGCAGCATGCAACAGCTTAGCTCCTGTCTGAACACCAGGACTTGGAAACAAACCTCATCATTAAGTTTGAAGTAGAATTCACAAATCCTGAAAATGCTTCTGCTGTCTCCAGGTGTTCTCTGGGTCAGGAGGACCCAGAGCAAACTCCACCACTGCGAAACAGAGCCAGGCTCACATTGGAAGTACAGACAGAGGACAACTAGCTTTTGGGAATTGCTCCTAAGAACTTAATAGGCAAAGGGAGCAGGTTGAAGTGCTGCAGCAAATGTGGAACCAGAAGCACTCACCCTGTCCTTGCAAAATTGGTCCAGTAAGCAATCATGGCCTTTGAGACAGTCCTGTGCTTGGGCAGGTAGCCCAGAGGTGTGGCAAAGGGTTTCCCAAACACATACTGCAGGTCATCAGCATGGTCAGCACCTACCCAGCTTGGGTATATGGGCATTCGGGATGGCTGGGAGAACAAGTAGCTGTATGTCTTGGCACTCCTGAGGAAATAAATGGATTTGCTAAGCAGCTGCAAGTAGGGAGCAGAGAAAGGTGTGCAGATTCATAACCATGCGCCAAATACCAGCAGAGCCAGAGATTTAGCCTTGGAAGAGGCTCACATGCATCTAAGAGGTGGTCTCAGGAGAAAACAGCTTTCTATCTAGTAAGTTTTAGCTTCCATTTCTGATTCTCACCCTAACCCTCATATCATCCAACTGCCAAGTCTCATGGCATTAAACATTGCTAGGATGAATTGTGAAGTTTTTAGGATGCAAAAACTTGTTGTAATGGGAATTTTAAACATATTTCTAGCATGACTGCTTTGCATCATTAGAGAAATAGTGTTTATACGAGCTATATGTGAGTGTGTACTCAGTACCAAAAAGCCTGCCTCCTACAATTTCAGTCCTCTTAACCTATGCTGGGACTCAGTGTTTTGGCTCCCAGGTGGGCTTTGGGCTCCTGCCAGGGCTGAGCTGCTCACCGGGCATTCTGCAGATGCAGATTCAGTGCCCACTGCGTGGGAATCAGGAAGATGTAGTCAGTAATCAGGTCCACCACTGTCTTCTTCATGGCCTCCTGCTCTGGGTTTTTGCCCCATGCTTGTGTGTAGACACTGTAGGTCTCATTGGCTCCACGCTCACCCCTGTCCACAGTAAGTCCTTTGACCAAATTATAGATCTCGTCCCTGAAAAAACAAGTAGTATCAATTAATTGCAGACCAGCAGCTTATTGCAGGCCAGCAGCTTCTTGCAGACCAGCAGCTTCAAGTGGGGCAGGGCTCATGGAAACGGATCCCAGTCCTTACTGACATTCAGATCCAACCCTGCAGTTAGTGATGGTTTGGTGGAATAAAATCGAGTTATTTCATTCCAGGCCTTAGATGGAGGGCATGTGCTTCAAGCTTTCTTAGCAGCACAGCCTGAGGCCAAATTGGCCACAGGTTCCTTTCATCCCCAGAGAGGAGTCTTATGGGGTGGGCACCTAGCACGTCTGGCGTGTATCTACTTTGGACAGAGTGCATCAGGGCTGCTAAGCCTATCACTGGTGCTGAGTTCAGGGGGACCTTAAAGGAATATGGAGAAGCTTCTCCACTAACTGGCCCTTGCTTTTGAAGGCTTGGCACCATATGCCCTAGGCACCCTAACCTGGATTGACATCCTTTTTTGAAGGTAGTGCATCCTTCACTTACGCAGTGATTTTCACAAGTGGGCGATTGATAACAGGTAAATCAATGCCAGCAAACATGTGTCCATCCATGTTATTAACTCCAGCAATATAATCAATGTCAGCAGCATAGGCAAAGAGGTTCTCTGGCATGTCTGGGAGGAAGTCTCCATCAATGACAGGAGTGAGGGCAAGTGTGTGAACCACAGGAGCTGCAGCACAAGACAAAAAGAGAGTCCATTAGGAGCTGAGAAAAGACAGATGTGTGAGTCATGGCATATCCCATGACTCAAAGAACTGTAGAAGGAATAGGCTGAGGTGAATGAGAGCTTGGGCAGTGACTTCAGCATGAGCAGGATGTCACCCAGAAGCAGGGTGACCACAGGATTGCATTCAGTGAACTTCATGCCTGTAGGTGGGGGAGAGGAGCAAGAGATCTGCCAGCCAAGTACCAGAAGGTAACATCAAAAATTCCTCTCTTCCATGCAGTCACTTTCCAAAAAGCCCAGCCAAATGTGGGGAAGAGCAGAACTTCTCCTCATCTCACCTGGCTGTGCTCACTCATTGCCAGAACAGCTGATTCCAGCCAGTGTGGCTGCACTATGCTACTGTGTGGCTGCTCTCTGACCCAAGCAAGTCCAAACACTGGAGCTATTTGCTAGGAGCATGAGGAGAGCAAGGGGAGGACAGTGTTCTTGGGAAAGAAATCCCCACAGGCACAAAACCAGAAACATTCTCTACTTGGTGCAAGAGTCCTACACTCCACCCAGTGACTCAGAAACCCAGGGTTGTGGTCAATTATTTTTGTTTGTAAGCTTCATTCTGGAATTGCTGCTTTCACAGAACAGAAAGCCCATATGGTTGCTCTGGAGCTAAGACATGGCCCTTTAATAATGCCTCTGCCTCTGCTGCCATTGCACGGTGACAGTGTTCATGCAGCCCAATGGGCACCTGCCTGTGGAAGGTCACTGCAAGATCTGTCATTATTGTCTCTTTCTATAGGACACAAGCACTGCTTCAACACTCCTGGCAATTGCCCATGTCCCACCAAAAGCATAGAGAGACCTGGGTCGCTGTGAGTGGAGGAGTCACCATAGCATGGGCTGGACGACTTACAGGACAGGTTGATCAGCTGCATATGGTAGGCCAGTGTCAAAGATTTGGGGTTGGAGATGCGCAGGCAGTTGGCTAAGGCAGTGGTGTTGTCTGTGGGGCATCCCACACTTTGTCCAAGCTGCAGCAGGGGAGAGAGAGAAACCTCCTAGCACTACCTTCTGAAGCCAGGTTTCATTACCAGCTTCACAAAGGCAGAGGAATGGTTGGTTTTAATCTCAAAACAGCATGTTTTCAAAGCTCAGTTTGGCACCATGGCTCCTGCTGAATCCCTGGCTAGTTATGCCTTTCTCTGGAGAATCAGTTTTCTATTTTTTTTCCATTCCCAAAGGCAAGACTTCCATGTTACCTTCTTAGCCCAGGTGAGTGGGTTCTTCTGAATGGCCCAACTGCAGAGACCAACGCCACTCTGGCTGATGGCTCTCTTGAACAGGCCCTTGTTCTTTGGGGTCAACATCTGTGGTGCAAAATAGAAACAGGGTTTCAGGTGCAAACTGCTGAAGAGATCATCGCCTCCCAGACCTGGCTGATCCCTTCACAGCTTGTGCTCCAGGCACTGGGAAGCTCCCAGATCTCATCCTATTTAACAGTCTCAACAGTTAAAAGGTGATATGGTGACAAGAAGAGCAGAGTAGGGCCTTATGGCAAATAAATGCTATTTTGCCATGGGTCCCAAAAGCAAGGACACATCCCTGCAGCAGTGGGATAGATTAAACTGAAGAGGGAGGAGAAGCCACAAAGCAAAGAGGCCGAGCATTGCTGATCCCCAGCAGGAGAGGATGTTAATCAGGTGGTATGTGTGGAGGAAAGCATCAGAATGCCAAGGGGATCATTTCTCTTGTCTGCAGAGAAAAGAAGTGGCTCTGGAGGACTCTGATAAGGACAACACACCTGCAGGGAGACACTGACAGCACCAGCTGATTCCCCAAAGATTGTGATGTTTTCTGGGTCACCCCCAAAGGCCTTGATATTCCTCTTCACCCAGGCAATAGCCATGTGCTGGTCTTTCAGCCCGTAGTTCCCTGAGCAAGAGAGCACCTGCCACTGAGTAAGGACAAAGCAAAGCTGGTAAGCTGGGGACCCACGACAATCCCCTGAAGAGGGAGCAGCAACCATACCTGGCAAGTTTGCATCTCCAGTACTCAG